CTAGGGACCCAGACTCATACGGAGAAGCAGACTGTCTGGCATCAGTTGGAACTCGAGGGCAGCTTTCTCTCGGAGGTGCATGCAGGGATGGCCGGGACACTGAGAAGCAGTGCCTCTGAGGGCAGCCATAACTGCTAGCCCTGCCCTGTTGATCCCTTGGGACCCGCCTCACCCAAGACCTGTACAGAGGCTTTTGCTGGATATCCTCAGGCAGAGGCTAGATTAGCACCTCCCTAGAGATCCAGGAGCCAGTGTGCCCAGTGGTCAGAGTGGGAACATCCAGTTTGCAGCTCTTCCAATCCATAAAGGACACACTCAGGGGGCAGGCTCAGTGAGGACCGAAGTCCCATTGAAGCAAGTCTTGCCCCGGAAGGGAGTCTCCAGCACAGAAGTTCTCCCACTGCAGACACAGCTGATTCTCACAGCCAATTGGCCTGGAGGTCAATCTCTCCCAGAGTTACCTACAACAATCAAGGCTTAACTACAACAAGACTGTGTACAAAGACCACAAGGGGGTGCACCAAGAGTATCCTCCTCAGGTAATTGGGGGAGGCTGAACCACTTGGCCCTAGAGGACACTTAGCACAGAAAACCACTTTATCAACACAGGGAAGCATAAAAAATGTGGAGACAAAGAAACAGGACACAAATGACAGAAATGGAGGAAAGCAAACTACTGGATATAGAGTTCAAAACCACACTTTTAAGGTTTTTCAAGAACTTTCTAGAAGCTGCCGATAAATTTAGTAAGACCCTCAAAAAGACTGGTGAGACCGCTGATAAATGTAGTGAGATCCTCAAGAAATCTAGTCAGACCCTCGAGGTTATGATAAAGGACCAACTAGAAATTAAGCATACACTGACTGAAATGGAGGATATTATACAGACTCCCAACAGCAGACTAGAGGATCGCAAGAATCAAGTAAAAGATTTGAAATATGAAGAAGCAAAAAACACCCAACCAGAAAAGCAAATGAAAAAAGAATCTGAAAATACGAAGATAGTGTAAGGAGCCTCTGGGACAGCTTCAAGCGTACCAACATCCAAATTATAGGGGTGCCAGAAGATGAGTGAGAGCAAGATATTGAAAACCTATTTGAAGAAATAATGACAGAAAACTTCCCCTACCTGGTGAAAGAAACAGACTTCCAAGTTCAGGAAGCGCAGAGAACCCCAAGCAAAAGGAATCCAAAGAGGACCACACCAAGACACATCATAATTAAAATGCCAAGAGCAAAAGACAAAGAGAGTATCCTAAAAGTAGCAAGAGAAAGAAAGTCAGTTACCTACAAGGGAGTATCCATATGACTGTCAGCTGATTTCTCAACAGAAACTTTGCAGGCCAGAAGGGAGTGGCAAGAAATATTCAGAGTGTTGAATGCCAAGAACCTACAACCAAGATTACTCTACCCAGCAAAGCTATCATTCAGAATTGAAGGTCAGATAAAGAGCTTCAAAGATAAGAAAAAGCTAAAGGAGTTCACCTCCACTAAACCAGTATTATATGAAATGCTGAAAGGTGTCTTTTAAGAAGAGGAAGAAGAAGAAAAAGGTAAAGATACAAATTATGAACAATAAATACACATCCATCAACAAGTGAATCTAAAAATCAAGTGAATAAATAATCTGATGAACAGAAAGAACTGGTGATTATAATAGAATCAGGAGCATAGAAAGGGAATGGACTGACTATTCTTGGGGGGGGGAAAGGGGTGTGGGGGATTGGGGAAGAGACTGGACAAAAATTGTGCACCTATGGATGAGGACAGTGGGTGGGGAGTGAGGGCGGAGGGTGGGGTGGGAACTGAGTGGAGGGGAGTTATGGGGGAAAAAAGAGGAACAAATGTAATAATCTGAACAATAAAGATTTAATTTAAAAAGAAGTGTTGTGTAGGTGAATGTTTTACATTTCAGATATGCAGCCAAAATGAATGTTTTACATTTCAGATATGAGCCAAAATGATCATTCCCTTTGCCTTCCCTCTAACCCCACAGTATATAAAAATCCAGTTATTCTGTAACCCTGCAAGGACATACAATGGTTAACCTTTTCAAATAGTAACCCCAGAAATGCATATAATGTTAACTCGCTTTCATTTTAATTTCATCTACCTAAGCATTTTTTATGGTGAACATTTTTTCATACATTTATTTGCACTGTATTTATCTGCTTTGTTAAAATGTCTGCTGAGAATCTTTTTCAAATTGTCTAAATAAATTTATTATTTTACCCAAAGGAGGACTGTGCAGCATCTAAGACATATGCTTAAATTTCCCTCATTCCTCAGTGACTTAAGTTACTCCTTTGCCTTGTGGAACCATTGGTTTTGAATCCTGGGAGAAAAAATTGTTTTACTCATTTTTTAAAATTATTTTTTTATTGATTAAGGTATTGCATATGTTTTACACAGCTTTAATGCTATGTACTACTGAAGACAACGTATACCATATACTTATACATTTAATCTGCATTGCTAACATTCAGAGCCACTCTTATTTAAGTCTAAGCATTTACTAATACATTAAGTGAAGTCTAGGTTTGTAGTATTTGTCAATTTCCCTGGCATAAATACTGCCATCATGGTCAGTTTTAAACTGCCAAAGTGATAGCATTGAATATGCACATGATAAGATAGTTCAGTAGCACATCATTGTATTTTATTTTCAACATACTGATATAGTTGCAACAAATATGCTCCAGAACTTTCATAATAATACCGTATAATTATTGGGAAGTTTCAAGTTTTAAACCTTTCTTAAAATTTGATTTAAGTACGATTGATTTAAATCATACATGAGAAAATATTTTTAATTGATTTCAGGGAGGAAGAGAGAGAAAGAAATAGCACTGATGAGAGAGAATCACTGGTAGGCTGCTTCCTGTACCAACTCTTTCCCTGGAAATTGACCCTGCAACCCATGTATGTGCCCTGAGCAGAAATAGAACCATGACCTTCTGGTTCATAGGTTGATGATCAACCACGGAGCAACACCAGCTGGGCTATAGTATTTAGAAAGCTTTTTAAAATATATGTATTTTTATTGTTGATAGTATTATAGATGTCTTCTATTCCCCCCCACCACCACCCTCCAATATACATTCTTTTGTGGACCTATTCCAGGACTCCCTTCCCCCTTTCCTCAGAGATCTGTCATTATGTGCCAGTTAAGCAGACCTCCAGTCCCATCTTGTCCTCCAGCACAAGTTGTGCTGCCTCAACACCAATACTCACCAAGGTCATTGGCTGAGATGAGCCCTCCTCTGGGTCATTACAAAAACTACATTACCCAGAAAGCACTGCACCAGAGTCAGACCTGTAGGAGCAATTTGGTGCCTGAACATCCGGTTGGGGCGGGACTTCCTGCGTCGTCCTCCTGGCGGTCATTTTGGCCTCTTCTCTGGGTTCACAGACTCATAAGCTTCAGCGCTTGGTGGCGAGTAGGAGGAGGTGTTGGCGGCAGCTTCCCCGCTGGGCAGGGTGTGTCTGAGGCTTGTTGACCCCAAACCGGCGGGATTGGGGTCTCCTTGCCTCCCCGACTCCTCTCCGCTGACAGAGTCCACTCAGCGTCACCCCATTGAACCCTCCAGCCTCTGTTCCCGGCGCCGCTCGGGTCCCGCAGCCAAGGTTGCGGCGTCCAGCACAGTGAGTCCTCGTGGGGGACCCGGGGTGTGAGGGGGGAGGAGGGCGACGGGCTGCGGTGCCGCCGGGTGAGGCCGTGGGGGGACTGAGCCGGGAGGTGGGGACACCCAGGCCGCGTTTGTGTCTAAAGGCGACAAAGAGGACGAGAGGCGGTTCCCGGGAGGAGTTTTACTTTCATGCTCAGGGCGACGGGGCTGTGGGAGGTTGTGAACAGCAGAGGGATGAGGCTGAGATGCGGGTCTAAACGTTCCCCAAACGCCCAGAGGAGGAGCCGCCTCCAGGAGAGAGGGCGGCAGTGAGG